TTACAGTGGAGGAAAGTAATGTGCAGAGTGATGAAGTAGCCTGCAAAATTTCCGAGCGTCATCTGGTTAGACCCACGTGTTTATTCTTTTATGTCCCGTCGTGCCTTATACACATCTCATAAAAAGTTATGGATACCCATCTTTTGCTGGGAGAAATCCCACTTAGGTTTTGTGAGAGATGAGGCTATTATTTATTCCAAAAGCATAGATTGCACGACTATGAACCACCAGGCACTGTTCTGTGTTTTGCAGGCATGATTTCACTTTGTTCACAACAGCCCCTGAAGGCCCATCGTTACCTTCATTTTGCAGATGAGTCACCTGGGCCTCAGAGAAGTTGAGTAACTTGCCCACCATCACAGAGTTAGTAAATAACAGAGCAGGGGGGGGCTCAACATGGGTCTGGGCATTGGGATGTGTGCAAAGTGCTTTGATGCGCCATCTTGATACGTCAAATGAATCAAGTTGGCGATGTTGGGCCATCGTGTATCTGAGAGGGTGTGTGCTGACGCTGGGGCAGGGCCAAACAGCTCCGCTTCCTACAAAGAGTCAGGAACTTAAAGTTCCCCAGAGGCAGAGAGAGGAGAACAACACTGGAGGCTGGTGTGGGGAAAAGGGCACAGACGGAAATCACCAAAGTGTAGCCAAGCGGGGACTTTAGAGGGAAGAAATCCTAAAGGAGATGTGAAAGTTGTTCACGGTGGTGTGTGTGCACAAGTGTGTGCGTGTCTGTGCACCGCGATATCCCTCCCCTCAGCCCCTCCTCACCTCACCAGAATACTGTCAGTAAAGTCCACCTTGCTCACTGATGTGTAAGGAGGTTCTTCTGGGGTAACTTAGTGAGGTGCCAAGATCAGGACTATTGCAAGGCCAAAACAGAGACTGCTCCTGTGGACACAAAAGCCCAAGCCCAAGGGGCCCAGTGACATCCACCGTAAGTCATTTACAGGGAGATTATTTCTCTGCCTTCTTGCCAACCACACGGTTCAACTGAATTAAGTACTCTTTAGTGCCAAGTACTAAACAGGAAAAGAAGAAAAAGACTCATCACAGAGTGTTTGAGACCAAACTTCTCTATCACTTACTATGAAACAGGCACTTGACCCACGTTAAGTCATTTACCCTCACTGCAACCCCACGGAGTAGCTGCTATTATGATTGCCATTTTACAGAAGAGAAATTGAGGCACAGAGGAGTCAAGTGATTGAGCCCAAACCACTCGACTGCTAGTAGGCAGCACAGCTGGGGCTTGAACTCAGGCAGACCCATTTCCGAGCCCATGATCTGGACCATTGCACTAAACCTCCTTGGGCACGCTGCCTGGAGTGTAGTGCACGGAGGAGAATGGCAGGAATCACGGGGCCCTACCCCCCAATCTCTAGTTGCTGAGTTGGCAAGAGTGTCCATACTCTATCTAGTATTCTTCCTCGAGGTACGTTTCATTGGCATTGTAGGTAAGGTCAATGGCGCTTGGCTGCTGCTGGGCCCCTATTTTGACGTGTTTGGATTCTTCATACAGGAAAGGCACTGGGGATGAGGTGAAGCCGACAAGCCAGATGTCTCGTCCCCAGGCTCTGCTCTGCTCTGCTCTGAGCACAGCTTTCTCTGTCTGATCACGTCCAAGGGGCAGGCTTGTCTGTTATCGGCTCACCTGCTGCTTCAAAAAGAGACTGTATTTGGCAACACAACAAAGCAAAGCTTGCCTCTGACCAGAACATGGGGACCAGGACAAAACTAGCCGCGAAGTATGAAACATTTTTAAAACCTGAAACACACTTAACTCTTTGAACCTTGGACATTGCTGTGGCTTAAAACTTCTTTCATAAGGCGGGGTAAAAACATAACAAAATTAATCGAGGGATCCCTCCAGCAGCACGGCTAACACCTTCTTCTTGCCCCAACTAAGACCCAATCATCACAACCAGAGCTCCAAATAAATTTCTCACCTAGGATGTAGTCCGGTCCATCGCTCCTTTCCAGGAGACAGAAAAAAGGCTGAGAACTGAGGACCCGGTGCAGCTGGGAAATGGGAGGAGGGAAGAGGGTTCTCCTATTAGAGGAGCCATTAACTTTTAGAGTCATTTCCACAATAACATTGAGCCATTTACTTGGCAATTATACAGGGAATAAACATTGATAGGGTGCTCTGTGAGCACAGCTGCATGTCAACATCTGGCGTCACCTCTGGCATCCTAGAGGGCACATCTGCCAGCAGGTAGCTCTTCTGGAGAGCCCCACACCGGGCCCTCCGACTCTGGAGAGGACAAGCGGCTGCTTGTCGGGAAGCATCAGCCAGCGAGGTCGGGGAGGGGCGCGCTGCCCCCGCAAGAAAGCGTAGACTCTGTTCAGTCTTACGTGCAGAGTCAGGACCTGTGCTACTTTCCGCAAAATAACTGACTAAACTGGCAGAAATAAACACCAGAAGCTCTTGAGCACCGATAATGTGCCAGGTGCCATCCCATGCACTCTGTGTGTGAGTCTTCGTAACAGGGAGGTGGGGGCGCGTACTTTTCTTGTTTTACAAGCGAGGTAGGGATGGATTAGACACTCGCGGCCACACATCTACCTAGTGGCAGAGCCGAGAACACAGTTTTTTTTTTTTTTAAATTTTTTTTTTTCAACGTTTATTTATTTTTGGGACAGAGAGAGACACCATGAACGGGCGAGGGGCAGAGAGAGAGGGAGACACAGAATTGGAAAGAGGCTCCAGGCTCTGAGCCATCAGCCCAGAGCCCGACGCGGGGCTCGAACTCACGGACCGCGAGATCGTGACCTGGCTGAAGTCGGATGCTTAGCCGACTGCGCCACCCAGGCGCCCCGAGAACACAGTTTTATTCTGACCGCTGGATCCCATGCTCTTCACCATCACCTTGCACTGCCTCCCAAGTGGGTGGCAACAAAGTGCTGTGCCAACAGATTATTCAGGGTCCTGGCGAGCTCAGACCCTCGCAGCTGTATTTCTGAGCACCTACTCAGCGTAAGGCCTAGCCAGTGAACTGAGATGTGGGGAGCACACCCCCGGCCCGGTCTCAACAGGGACAGACTGTAACTCTCCACCTTCATGAAAAGTACGCCCCCGTTCTCCCTCTCTCTCTTGTACCTTCTCGTATTTTCCCACTCACCACTCTTTCCTTCTCCCTTTGCCAAAGTCATGACAAGAGACAGCCAGGTGACTTACGAGGAGGGGCAAAACAACTGTTTTAATCCACCCGTCTAAGTCCTCCCCTTCTGAGTCATTTTCTAGGTCTCTAGCCATATGCAGATAATAATGTACATGTTTTCCCAAAATGATGTTCAGCGAAAAGTCTGCCTCCCACCCAGGCCCCTACCTGCCCCGTGCCCATCCCCCAAGCCCAACCTACTAGGATTTTCTCGCGATTCCTTCCAAACTTTACGTATACGTAGGACACTGCACACTTACGTTACCCTCCCTCATTTCTTGCCATTTTTTTGAGTTCTTCCCTGTGACTACTCAGAGCATATTCGTTCCCTTTTTTTAGCCGCATAGTACTCCATTTTATGGTTCTACTGTGTTTATTTACCCTTTCACCTATTAATGGACATCCAGATCGTCTTCAGCCTTTTGGTATTCATAAGTTGGTGCTTTGACTCCGTGCGTCTACACTTAAACTGGTTAGAACTCAGTGAGGAGGGAGGTTGATGGGTTTCCCCAAATTCCAACACTGCACCACTGCGATCTATCAGAGCAAGGAAGTAAAACACACTCAGCGAAAGCCCCACTGTAAGAAGACCTTTCTCTGCCAGGAGAAACTGCCATGTCTATCTTTCCCCAAATATTCCATTTCTCTTTAGCCCAGAGAGAACGTGACATCTTGAATGAGGTGATCTATACAGGGTTTTGTTTTTTTTTTTTCAATATATGAAATTTATTGTCAAATTGGTTTCCATACAGCACCCCGTGCTCATCCCAAAAGGTGCCCTCCTCAATACCCATCATCCACCCTCCCCTCCCTCCCACCCTCCATCAACCCTCAGTTTATTCTCAATTTTTAAGAGTCTCTTATGCTTTGGCTCTCTCCCACTCCAACCTCTTTTTTTTTTTTTTCCTTCCCCTCCTCCATGGGTTTTTGTTAAGTTTCTCAGGATCCACATAAGAGTGAAAACATATGGTATCTGTCTTTCTCTGTATGGCTTATTTCACTTAGCATCACACTCTCCAGTTCCATCCACGTTGCTACAAAGGGCCATATTTCGTTCTTTCTCATTGCCATATAGTACTCCATTGTGTATATAAACCACAATTTCTTTATCCATTCATCAGTTGATGGACATTTAGGTTCTTTCCATAATTTGGCTATTGTTGAGAGTGCTGCTATAAACCTTGGGGTACAAGTGCCCCTATGCATCAGTACTCCTGTATCCCTTGGGTAAATTGCTAGCAGTGCTATTGCTGGGTCATAGGGTAGGTCTATTTTTAATTTCCTGAGGAACCTCCACACTGCTTTCCAGAGTGGCTACACCAATTTGCATTCTACAGGGGGTATTTTTTAAAACGGTAATTTCTAGGGGTTCATTGAGGTAATATAAAATTCAACCGAGCCTAGCCTACCAACTCAAGAGAAGGCCAGGTAGGGAGGCCTTTGCCTCTCTGACTGGGCCCATCAAGGGCTAAGCAATTGTCCTCTCCCCTAAGACATTCGCTTCCCCGGCCCTCCCCCATCCGAGTCAGACATGCATGCCTGCAGCTGTGAACATGCCATGTCAGTGCTAGATTTGTCACCAAGGAATGATATGTGTTTCTTCTCCTATTCCTTTAAGGCTTTTGCTAAAAACAGCTGTGGCAAGCAGCCACCTCTTGGAATGAGACTAGCACTAAAAAATGAGAACGAGGACAATCTGGGTGCTCTTTGATTTGTCCTACCATCCTTGCCGCGCCACATTCTCAAGCTGTCTTCCCGCCCCACCCCCCTCCCCCCACTCACCGCAAGCCTGTTATTGATATTGTTGGTGTCCTCCCCACATTCTCTTGGGTGGTAACATTTCAGGGCGCGCTGGTCTGGTTTGCAGTGCCCAGCATCTGCATCCTTTTACCTAAGGGCTTTCTCCAGCTACCAGAGTTCATCTTGCACGTGCGCAAGGTAGGCTGGAAGGGCTCAGTAGTTAACCCCACCACCACGACTGCCGGGCGGCCTTCAACCAACAACTGACCAAAGCTGGTATAAATAAGTAACCCAGCTCCCTTGCCACTCAGGCGGGATAAGTCTAAGGATTGCATTGTATCCTGTTTTCCAGTGTCCCCCAGCAGGGATTAGGCTCATTGTGGTAACTTGCTGGATAATGTGACATTTACTGGCCTTCCCTTGCTTGTCTCACTTCCTCACTCCCTGCTCGTGCTTCCTTCATTTTCTACGTGAACTATGGGCACTGAAATCCTTGTTTCAAGGTCTTCTTGGTACCAGAAGTTCTTCTAAGAAGCAGTGTCTCTGGAAATTGCGTCACAGATGGGAACAAGGACCAGCTGCTGGTGTCAGGTGAGGTCTGTTAGCATCACAAGAACTAAGACTGTGGGTAGTCTTAGAATTGGGTTGGGACACAGGGGAAGAAGAATGCAATAAGATTGGCAGTATACGGGAGATCAACCGTAATTATTGAGACCTCTGGATGGCTCAGCTGGTTGAGCATCCAACTCTCGATCTCAGCTCAGGTCTCCATCTCAGGGTGGTGAGTTCAAGCCCTGTGTTGGGCTCCACATTGGGTATGAAGCCTTTTTTTTTTTTTTTTTTAAGGGACGGGTGGTGATTATAAGGACTGTGGGGTTGCTTGGTTGCTTAGAGGTGAAGTGCAGCAGGAACACTGAAAGAGAATGAGAGGCTAAAATCATCCAGCTATCAGCTCAAGTTACGGTGTAAAAGCCAGAAAGCCCTCATTAAAGCCCTTAAAAAGAGCTCTCCTGTAGCCAGACAGCAGATGTGCTTAAAACCAAGCACAGGATCTGACTGTGTGAACAGCAAACTTGCAAAGCATGTGGAATTCATAGCCCCGGCAAGTCTCCAATGCTCAAGTCAAGGTCCTGATAGGGCAGGGGTACTGGAATTGACCATGTGTTCCAGGTATGGATTTGCCTTTCCTGGCTGCAGTGCCTCAGCTAGTTCTACTGTCTGAGGGCTCACAGAATGTCTGATTTATTGTCATGGATCTGCAGGACATTGCCTTGCCAAAAGACTCATTTTATAGCAAAGAATGTATCATAAGAACCATGGGATCTACTGGTTCCACTTCATACCACATCACCCAGAAACTGTTCGCCTAATGTACGATTCGAATGACTTCGTAAAAATGCAGGTAAGATGTAACTCGGGAGATGACCCTTTGCGGAGCGAGGCGCTTTAAGATGTAGCGTATACTTTTAACCATTGGTCACCATATGGTGCTGTGTCTCCAATCCCTTGGGCTACATGGGTTTGGATACAAAGGAGTTGAAGTAGAAGTAGCTTCTCTCACCAGCATTCCCAGTGACCCACTTAGAGAATTTGTACTTCTCATTCTCCCAACTTCAGGATATGCTAGGTCCTGGTGCAAGGGGACGAGAATGTTTCTACCCGGGACACAATAAAAGGCACACTAAACCCAAAGTATAGCTGATGCCTGGCCATTTGGGGTACCTAAGTGCTAGTAAGCCAGCGTGCAAAGAACGCAGTCAAAGCTGTCTAGCAAAGCTGTCAATCTCAATTATTATAAGGAACCTAGCGAAGGGAGGGAGAAGTATGTCCAGAACTCAGAGAGGGGAGGCACCCTGTGGTGCTTCCATGTACAGTGATAACTGTGAATGGGCAACTGCAGTAACCACAGCTTGTCAAAGACACAATAATCCAAGGCTCAGATCCTTCAAGGATGGAGGTCTGGATTGCCTTAATGTACAAGCAACTTTGAGCAACAGAAGTGCCAGTGGGGATGAGGGGAATGAGAATAGGGTAGAAGGGCAGGAGTGGATGATGATGATTTGTGGCCACAGGAACACCTGTAGCAGTGAGGACCTCAGTTCCCTTAGCATGGGAATTTGTCACACAGATTTTCTGTTTTTAGCCTTTTAGTTTACTTTAAAGGAAGTATGACTGACCATCATCTTGAAGAATCAGTGACAGAACAGGAAGAACTTGAACGATGACAGGGGTAGATCTGAATGGCACAAGGGGTGGATTGTAGCCGGCAAGCTTGTGTGCAAGCCTTAGCATTTAGATGCATCTCTTTACCTAAGAACATTTTCTGGCCACCAGGGTGCACTCTCCTCATGCATATGGCTGGAAAAGTCAGGAAATTAGTGCCCTGGGAGCAATTCTTACCCAGCAACCAAGGAAGTTGGTGTGTAAATGCCCCGGCTCCCTTTCCTTTTGGGAGGAATAACTGTAAGATGTGTGTTCCATGGGTTTTCTAGTGGGATTTGTCTTCAGTCACCCACACAGTAGCTTGAATGACAACAAACCCATTACTGGTTGCTTTCCCTTGCTCACTTCAATTCCCTTCTCTTGTAATAGTGCTCCCTTCACCTTGCAAGTAAACTACTTGCATGTGAATCCTTGTCGCAGGGTCTGCCTCTGGGGGACCCAAACTAGGACACTGTACTCCATACTCATCTAATACTCCTGAAAATGAATCTGAGGAACTGATTTCTTATTAAAATGTGAATGACTGATAGGGCCCAGGGAAGTGAGTTTAAAAGAAGAAATATCCTGGGGCGCCTGGGTGTCGCAGTCGGTTAAGCATCCGACTTCAGCCAGGTCACGATCTCGCGGTCCGTGAGTTCGAGCCCCGCGTCGGGCTCTGGGCTGATGGCTCAGAGCCTGGAGCCTGTTTCCCATTCTGTGTCTCCCTCTCTCTCTGCCCCTCCCCTGTTCATGCTCTGTCTCTCTCTGTCCCAAAAATAAAATAAACGTTGAAAAAAAAAATAAAAATAAAAAAAATAAAAAAAATAAATAAAAAAAATAAAAGAAGAAATATCCTTAAGGCAGTGGTTCTGAAGCAACAGGCTGGACACACAGAAGCCCTTGACAGGTGTGCTGACACATTATGATCTAAGGGTAAGATCTATTTTTGTAACAACCAATTTCACTTATTACACTGTCAGACAGGCTTGTAAGCTGAACATGTCCTTGGGTACAGAGTAACATGGGGCACAATTTGCAGCATGTGAGAATAAAGAAGCCCAGCATTATATGGAGCCACAGGATGAACGTGTGTTCCTCTGAGAGGACACAACAGATTTCCAGGTCAGGTTGACTTTGCTCAAATAGCAACACGGGGTTGAAAAACAGCCATGTGACTAAAGGGATAACCACAGGTGATTGCATAGACACTGAGTCACTGCAGCAGTGACTATGTTGTAATTATGGTTGATTTGTTGAGGGTGGTTGAGTCTTTTCATCCCTTCAAGCTTCAAAGTGTGTCAAAACACACATACACACACACAAATCTTTCATTTTGGCTTTCAGATTACAGTCAGTGGGAGAAATCTGGGAGGAAGAGACAGCAGGGAAACCTTTTGGGAGACTGGAATCATATGCCATCACCACCACCATCACCACTACCACCGCCATGGACGTTTGTAGAGTGGTTTCACTATATAAGTTGTTTTCAAACTGGGTTGTGGGGAATCCTAAGGGCTCTGAGAACCCAGCAGGTTCTGCCAACAATGAAAAACTTGGTGCCAAATAATAAATATTTAAAAACAGTTATTAGTTTTGTATATTGATTTTGTTAGAAAACATTCACCCACTAGAAGTACAATTTGAAAACCATAGATGTGCATGATCATTTTATTCTTATAACCACCCCCAGCTTGCAGGTGAGGACAGCGAGGGATTCAATGACTTGCCCAAAGTCATGGGCTACCCATGAGCTGAACTGTGGTGCAGAACCACACAATGTCCAGCACTCTTTCCTCTACATTCTACTATATTTGAACACTGATGATGAAACACGTGGTTTAGCAATTTCTTGGCCATGAAGTTATTTTGTTGAGAAGGGGCCAGAGAACAGTTTATAAAAGTTCTTAGAATTTGGGCTGTTCCAAGAAGCTTACTCAAATATTCTCTCCCTGAGCTATATCCAACACATGCTATTCCAGGAGGTGCTTGGATGGGACATGTTCTCACAGCCTGTCCTACGTGTGTGCCACACCCTCCAGACCCTTCGGGCAGCATTCAGAAATACCCATTGTAGCAGTCAGCTCGGCTGCAGCACAGCTCCGGAATAAAGGCACGTGGCTTATGAAAACAAGCATTAATTTTTCCTGCACACAGGTCTGCAGGTTGGCTAGGGCGACTCTGCTTCAGTTCGAGTTTGGGTCTGCTCCATGTGGCTCATCTTTGGAGGCCAGAGAGAAGGGGCAGTGGCTATCCAAAGTGCGCTCTTCTCATGCTAATTACACAAGGGAAGCCGAGCAGTGCACGCGCTATTTAAAGCCTCTGCGAGAGTCACATCCATTCATCTTCCACTGGCTAAAACGTGTCAATGACCAAGCCCAAAGTCAGTGGGACAAGAAATATACTGTGTCCTAAGCTGCAAGGGAAGTGAATGAAAAATTGCTGACTAATACTCCAATCTATCACATTAGCTAAAAATATGATTCCCATGAAGGGAGGCCAAGTACCTCTTCCCAAAACCCTCTAAATCCACAAACTGACACAGTCCTATTGATGAAGTCAGTCCCGGAAGCTGCCAAGAGGAGACCTTTCCTGAGAGCCCCAATGGGAATGTGAAGTGACAGTGTCCCCGGCTAGAGATCCCCAAGATGGAAATTACCTAGTTGCCTCTGGGATATTTAAAAAACCCACTACTTCACTCCCAGCGATCTGCCCTAAATCAAACTTCCAAGCCTCCCATCATAGAGGATGGGACCTTCAGGCAGAGAGAAGGGGCAGATGTGGGTGATTTATAAGCTTCAGCTTTAAAAAACCAATTTCTAGCCATAGAAGCATTGGCCACCATGCAGAGCAGTGCGGTAACTAGAAATAGACACTCTCAACTTCGACAACGTAAGTCTCTCCGTATGTTGGATACTGTTGGGTCCTCCACCGAACTCTTCAACATCCACTTACCCTTTTCCCTTCCAAACACACTCCTAATTTTGCTCAGGGGCCTCCCTTCCTCAAGGAACAATGACCCACCCAACACAAACTCCGGGGGATAGGCCAAATTGGTCAAGAGGTAATTCCATTCCCTTTGGCCGTGCTTGGCTCAGGGACAGATAAGTGACCTAGGGTCAGCTTATGAGACAGATTGTTCCTGTGGGAAAAGTTTGCTGGAAGGAGTGGGGATGGGCTTCTGGAAAAAGTTACTTCACTCTAAGAAGAAAGCCCCAAAAAGAAACTGACTCTCTCTCTCTCTCTCTCTCTCTCTCTCTCTCTCTGAACCCTGCTCTGTCTAGATATTCCTCCTACTGCCCTATTTCTCCCTGAAGATGAAAACAACAGGAAGATGGCAGAGAGAGAGTTGGAAAGGACAGGTGTCCTAAGGACATCACCAGACTACTGAACCTGCCTCCCCTGAAGGTTGCCTTAACTGCATCCTTACTTTTATTATTTTTTAATTGTTTTTTTTTTTTAGTTAAAAACAAGTTTTAACTTAGGCCTTTATTTAGCTATTTATTTTTCTGTCTATACAAGTTCAAATAAATTAAAAAGGCATCCTTACTTCTAAATGAGGTAATAAAAGATCCAGGTGTGTGACTCACTGAACTCACTACTAAAGGCATCTTTCCCCATGTCTACCATTTACTAGCAGTGCATTTGGGCAATCATTTCATTTCTCTAACTCCTTTTTGTGCAATGGTCCCGATGCCATAGGATCTTTGTGAGGGTTCAATGACAAGGCATATGAGTTATTTGCAAACTTTGGTGTCCAGTGTCTGGTAAGGGTGCAAATGACTCACAGGTATGTTTTTTTTTGGTACCATCAACCGAGAAAGCGCAGGCCTGGGCTAATCACTGCCATTTCTATACTTCCCTGTGTTACTGTCCTCTAGCTGTTGCAACAAAACCTTCCCAATGGGAAGGAGCTGTGTCTTTTTAGGGTAGATGAGTATAAGGTCTCCCATCTTAACCACTAAAGCCTGCAAAGGGCAAAATCTGATGCTGAAGGGAGATAGAACATACTTTTACTTTAAAAATGTTTTATAATTATTACCTTTTCCGGATTTGTAAATTAAAAAATATTTTTTGCGGAGCCTGGTGGCTCAGTCAGTTAAACGTCCAACTCTTGATTTGGGCTCAGGCCATGATCTCATGGTTCTTGGGTTTGAGCCCTGCATTGGGCTCCACGCTGAGCGTAGAGACTGCTTAAGATAATCTCTCTCTCTTCTTTTGCCTCTCTTTGCCACTCGCACTCTGTCTCTCTAAAATTATATATATATATATATATATATATATATAATAAAAAATATTTTAGGGGCGCCTGGGTGGCGCAGTCGGTTAAGGTCCGACTTCAGCCAGGTCACAATCTCGCGGTCCGTGAGTTTGAGCCCCACGTCGGGCTCTGGGCTGATGGCTCGGAGCCTGGAGCCTGTTTCCGATTCTGTGTCTCCCTCTCTCTCTGCCCCTCCCCTGTTCGTGCTCTGTCTCTCTCTATCCCAAAAAATAAATAAATGTTGAAAAAAAATTAAAAAAAATATTTTGGGGAGCTCCTGCCTAGCTCAGTTGGTAGACCATGCAAGTCTTGATCCTGGGGTTGTGGGTTCGAGCCCCACATTGAGTGTAGAGATTACTTAAAAATAAAAACTCAACACAAATATTTATTCGTGTATAATTAACACACAGCATTATATTTTACAGGTGTACAATATAATGATTCCACACTTCTGTACATTTCTCAGTGCTCATCATGGTAAGTGTACTCTTAATACCCTTTATTTATTTCACACATCCCCATATCCACTGTCCCTCTGGCAACCACCAATTTGTCCTATGTATTTAAGAGTCTGGGTTTTTTGCCTGTTTTTAATATTTACTTGTTCATTTGTTTTCTTTCTTAACTTCCACATGAGTGAAATCATATGCTATTTGTCTTTTTCTGATTGATTTATTTCACTTAGCATTATATATCCCCTTAGGTCCATCCATGAAAAGATCACAAGTCATCAGGTAAATCCAAATTAAAACCACCGTGAGATCTCACTTAACGCCTGTCAGAATGGCTAAAATAAAAACCACAAGAAACAACAAGTGTTGGTGAGGATGTGGAGAAAGGGGGACACTCATGCACTATTGGTGGGACTGCAAACTGGTGCAGCCACTGTGGAAAACAGTCTGGAGGTTCCTCAAAAACTTAAAAAAAGAATTAACACATGACTCAGAATTCCACTACTCGGTATTTACCCAAAGAAAACAAAAACACTAGTTCGAAAAAATATACGTGCCCCTATGTTCATTGCAGCATTATTTACAATAGCCAAGATGTGGAAACAACCCTTGTGTCCATCTGTAGACAAGGGGATAAAGAAGATGTGGGCTATAAATCAGTGGAATATTACTCAGTCATGAAAAGAAGGAAATCATGCCGTTTTCATGTTCTGTTTTTGAAAATATGAGAAAATTCAGACAAACAATATGGGAAAAGAAAAGAAAATCCACACATGACCCCAACACCTGAAGAAAACCAGAGTTAAAACTGGTATGTATTCTTCCAGCCCTTCCGCACCCCCCCCCACCCCGCCTCCGGTGGTGGCTTCTTTGAAAAGAAGAAGAAAAGAGAAAAACGGGCACTCGCACACTGCTTCCGAGAGTGGACGGGTGAAGACAGCTTTGAAGAGGGCAACTTTGCAATCTTGGAAAACTAAAAAACTAAAATTAAAAAAATGCTCAACAGTTCTGTTTCTGGGAACCCATTCTCCAGAAGCAACAACAGAAGGGCGGACCCTTAGAGCTTCCGGATGCCAGGTACTGTTCTACGCATTCTTATGCCATCTCAGTTCATCCTTACAACCTGCAAGGGAGGTATTATTATTGTCATTATTTTTAAATGACAGCTCTATTGAGATACAATTCATATGCCATACAATTTACCCACTTAAAATGTACCGTTCAGGGATGCCTGGGTGGCTCAGTCGGTTAAGCGTCTGATTTAGGCCTAGGTCACAATCTCGCCATTCCCGAGTTTGAGTCCCGCCTCGGCTCCGTGCTGACCGCTCAGAGCCTGGAGCCTGTTTCAGATTCTGTGTCTCCCTCTCTCTCTCTCTCTCTCTGCCCCTCCCCCACTCATGTGCACGCGCTCTCTCTCTCTGTCTCTCAAAAATAAACATAAAATAAAACGTACAGTTTAATACTTTTTAGCCTATTCACAGAGTTGTGCAACCATTATTATAATTTTAGAACATTTTCATCACTCCAAAAAGAAACCCTGTACCTGTTAGGAGTCATTCTCCTTTGCCTCAACCCCTCAGCCCCCTGGCAACCATCAGACTACTTTCTGTCTGTGTACATCTGCCTCTTCTGGACATTTCCTATCAGTGAAATATACAATGTGCTCTTTTGTAACTGGCCTCCTTCAGTTAGCATGCTTTCAAGACTCGCTCATGTTGCATTTCATGTCTTTTTAATGCCAAATAACATTCAATGCATAGATATATCACATCTTGTCTATCCATTCATCAGTTAGTGGGAATTTGGGTTGTTTCTACCTTTTGGCTGCTATGAATATTTGCATGCAACTTTTTGTGTGGCCGTGTGTGTATCT